AGCATACCCATTCCTCCACGTGACACAGATTGCTTTACCTTGTGGGATGCTTGTAATACCCTAGTTTTATGCTAGATCCAGAATTCTATGAACAAGGATCTGAGGAGAGCCATGTTAATCCATACGAATGCTAAGGCATTATGGGATGAATTGAAGAGGCTGTTTGGTCAACCAAACGCACTCCGAATCATTAACATTGAAGATAAAATTACAGCTTATAAGCAGGGAACCAAGACAATCAATCAGTATTTCATTGAAGTTAAAGGTCTTTGAGAAGAATACCTTGAGTATAGTCCTGTTGTTCCTTGTCCATGTGCACCAGGAAACCCCCAGCCTTGTCCAGCAGTTGCTGCTTTTATACAAAAACAGGAAACTGATTATCTGATCAGATTTCTCAGAGGACTTAATCTTGACTATGAAGTGGTTAAGACTCAGCTACTAATGCAAAAGCCCTTACCTACAGTATCAGCTGCAGTGGATGATTTGTTACAGCATGAACAGAAATTGAAGGGAGATGGTCACTCCAGTGGAAAGAAGTCACAATCTGTGGCACTGCTGTAGGAGGAAATCAGAATAAGGGATCTGAGGAATCCGGACAAGGCAAAAAGTATTGTAGATACTGTAAGAAGACAAATCACTATATTGAAGATTGTTGGATACTGAAGAAGAAAAACTCAGATAAAAAGGAGAAGTCAAGCAACTCAGGGTCTAATTCAAGTTCAAGTTCCAGTTCAAATACACCAAGGTTTGCTGGTTCAGTGGTTCAGAATTCAGCTGCAGAAACTCAGTAAGAAGGGAGTATGAGTGCTGATAACAACATGGTACCCAATCCTCCTGGATTCACAGCTGAAGAAATGAATCGTTTGAGATATATGTTGCAAATTGGTGCTAATCCTTTCCCATCTCCACCAACCTCTCCTACCATCAATCATCAAACTTACTCTGTCTCACAGTACTTACCTACATACCCAAATCACTCCGGTAAATTCACCTTGTCCATATTCAAACCTAGTCCTTCCCATATTCATAATTTGTGGATTTTAGACACATGTGCCTCTGACCACATAGCCTGTAGTCTAACCCTTTTCACAGACCACAAATCGGTCCCAAATTCTTTGTCAACCTACCCAACAACACACAAGTTCTAGTAACACACATAGGAACAGTCACTTTACCCTCAGGATTGATTCTCTATGATTTCTTGTGTGTACCTAGTTTTACCTTCAACTTAGTTTCAGTAAGCAAGCTTACACATGATATACGAGTTTCCTTACTTTCTCAATCTGACTATTATTCTATCCAAGACCTTCTAAGTAAGAAGAAGATTGGTTTAGACAAAGAAACTAAAGGCCTCTGCCATCTCTCCTTTCCATCAACTCAACAGCCATCACCCAGATCACCTATCCAACCTCAAGTAGCTTCACTTTTCAACTTCAACCCTCAACAACTAGAGCTGTGGCATTTGAGACTAGGGCATCCCAGCCATGAGAGACTTACTCTACTTAGTCATAGTTCTCCAAATGTAACTAGTTCTAAGACAATACATTGTGATGTTTGTCACTTATCCAAACACAAACGACTGTCTTTTCCCATTAGCACCAATGTTGCACCAAACAGATTTCATTTACTTCATGTGGATATTTGGGGTCCGTTGTCTGTTACTTCTTATGATGGATTCAACTATTTCTTAACTGTTGTGGATGATTTCTCACGTGCTGTCTGGGTTTATCTTATGAAACATAAGAGTGAAGTTAGAGGTTTACTGGAAGGTTTCTGTAATCTGGTTAAGAACCAGTTCCATACAACTGTTAAGGTCATCAGAAGTGACCAAGGGAAGGAGTTTCCTATGTGTGACTATTTCCTACAAGAGGGAATTGAACATCAAATGAGCTGTGTTGAGACCCCTGAGCAAAATGCTCACGTAGAAAGGAAACACCAGCACATTTTGAATGTTGCTCGATCCATAAGATTTTAGTCAGGGATCCCTCTTTCCTTTTGGAGTGACTGCATACTGCACTCAGTTCATCTAATTAATCGAATCCCACACCTATTCTTGCACATAGATCCCCTTATGAATTTTTATATGACAAACAACCATCTTTCTCTCACCTTAAGGTGTTTGGTTGCTTATGCTATGCCAGCATTTTATCCCATGGGAGAACTAAGTTTGCACCTCGAGCTCGACAGTGCATTTTCCTTGGCATCCCTTCTGGTATAAAGGGTTATAAAGTGTTAGACCTTCACACTAGGCAGGTCTTCTTTTCTAGAGATGTTGTTTCTATGAGAACATCCTTCCATATAAACATCATGAACCATCACCACACACACCTGAACCTTCATATACCCCATCACCTGATAATTCTGCTCCACACATTTCTCTACCAACTACTTCTCCTAGTCCCTCTCCTTCACATACCAGTTCTATTCCAGATCAATCTCCCTTACCTGTTTTCTCACAGCCTCAATCAGTTTCATCCTTGGATGAAGGGGGGACATCTGAGCCTGTGTTATCTCCTGTTTTGGATCACTATGAATACTTTGACAATGATCAATAGGAGCTTTTGTCTCAAGCTGACTTTGATGAAGATGAGCATAATATAGATGGCAGTTCTCTACCTAAAAGGAAAATCCACCTGCCATCTAAATATCAGGACTATCAGCTTGATCCTTCCCTTAAATTTGGGGCTTTTGGTAAGGCCAGTGCCTGTACCAGATATCCAGTTTGCTTGACAAATTAGTTCCAGTGGATAGACATTATGTTCTTAGTGTGATCAATATGCAAGAACCTAAATCATACTATGAAGCAATACAGGATGATATCTGGAACCAGGCAGTCAAGTCAGAGATCTATGCATTGGAAGAGAACCAAACCTGGGATATTGTGGAGTTGCCAAAGGGGAAGAAAGCAATAGGAAACAAATGGGTCTTCAAGATTAAACTCAAACCAGATGGCTCATTGGAGAGGTGTAAGTCAAGACTTGTGGCTAAAGTCTTTAATCAAGTCTATGGCATAGACTTTTTAGACACATTCTCACATGTTGCACTGTTAAAGCACTGTTAGCAGTTGCAGTGTGAAGAACTGGGTTTTGGGGCAGTTAGATGTGTCTAATGCTTTTCTACATGGTGAATTACATGATGAGGTGTATATGAAGATTCCATTGGGAGTTGAGGTTTCTAATCCTGAAGGAAAGAATTTGGTTTGTAGACTGAAAAAGTCTTTATATGGTCTTAAGCAAGCTTCCAGGCAGTGGTTTGCCAGACTTGCGGGTTTTCTTCACAAAAATGGGTTTTCCCAATCAACTTCTGATTATTCCCTTTTCTCTAAATGGATGCATGGAAGAGTGGTCATCTTACTGGTGTATGTAGATGACATAATTCTAGGAGGAGATGCACAAAAGGATATCGAACAGGTGAAGCTGGCTTTGAGCAAAGAGTTCAAAATCAAACTGCTAGGACCCTTGAAGTATTTTCTGGGTTTGGAAGTTATAAGAAATTATATGGTCTCGATGTATGTCAAAGGAAGTACTGTGTGGAACTTCTAAAAGACACAGGTTACTTAGACTCTAAGGGATGTAAATCACCTATGGATACAAAAGTGAAACTATTTACTCAAGGAACACTTCTGGAGGATGGAGAAGCATATAGGAGACTTATTGGCAGGTTGCATTATCTGACCATAACAAGGTCAGGCATTGCATTTGCTGTACAGCAGCTCTGCTAGTACCAGAAAAATCCCTGCAAAGAACATATGCAAGCTGCTTATAGAGTTTTGAGGTATTTGAAATCAGCTCCAGTCCAAGGAATACATTTCAGTAGCAAGAATGAACTGAAGTTGACTGGTTATTGTGACTCAGACTGGGCAAGCTGTCCAGATACAAGGAGATCAACAACAAGCTGTTGTACTTTCCTTGGTGATTCCCTGTTGACCTGGAGAATGAAGAAACAAACAACAGTCTCTAGATCCTCCTCTAAAGCAGAGTATAGAGCTTTGGCTCATGTTGTGTGTGAAGTGCAGTGGCTAAAACAGTTGATGATTGAGTTGACAGTAAAGGTACCTCTACCTATTCCCATCTTTTGTGACAATAAATCTGTGATTTATATTGCAGAGAACCCAGTGTTCCATGAGAGAACAAAGCACATAGAGATAGACATACATGTGACCAGGGATCGGATTAAAAGTGGTTTAATCAAACTACAACACATTGGAACTGCTAACCAGTTGGCTGATCTTTTCACTAAAGGTCTTGACAGATTTAGAATGAGAGAATTGCTGATCAAGTTAGGTGTCACCAATATGTTGGAGCCACTAACTTGAGGGGGGATATCAGAGTTGAAGAAGAATACTGAGTTGTAGAGAAGGAAGTTGCAGTGAAGAAATCCGAGAGAAGTCAGGATTGAAGACAGAAGAAGTAAAGTTAAAGACGGTGTCGTTTGCTTCAGCTGTCTGTTGTATTTCCTACGTTGTCGTTTTAATGGTTTGCTTTATTAGTCGTTAAGAGAGAACAGTTTAATCTCTTAATAGCCTATAGACAGTGGACAAGTGGCAGTTTACTGTAATTGTTTTGAACCCTTTATATATCAGCTGGTGAACTCAGAATACCCTGAGCTTCATCTTCCACATTTCGGCTAAATTGTTATCGTGGCAGTTTACTGTAATTGTTTTGAACCCTTTATATATCAGCTGGTGAACTCAGAATACCCTGAGCTTCATCTTCCACATTTCAGCTAAATTGTTATCATAATTCGAAATTGAGATTTTGCAGAAAGAGTGGTTAGAGGAATGACTGAGATCGGTCTGTGGAAAGGGTCCAAAAGTTCCCCAAGTTATACCTAATCCATCTCCCTTCCTTCCCATGTGGTCTGTTTTGTGGGTTGGTAGTCGGTATTCCTTCCGCTATGCGGATTCCAACCCTCACATTTCACAGAGTGAGTTCATTGATAATGAGTAACAACAGTCAGGACCAGTTCACTTTCCGGCTTGGCCAGGGAAAATTTGAACTCTTCAATACTTCGATTTACTTACCCAATCGGGGAAGTTATTACTTATGTATGGAAATGGAATGAACATCATAACCTTCCTTCTCCTTTTGCGAAGTGTGTGTCGCTGGAGATGGACTGAGCAAAGACTTGACAGTGTCTCAAGGGATTGCAGAGGGATGATAGCGCAGGAACTGGCCTAATGTTAGCTAAGCAATCGATGTCTGAAGGTACTTCAGTAATTGAGGGCTGTGGCGGTGGATAATCCGAAAAGGTGCGGTGATGGGCACATGAGATGAGGTAGCATTAAGTTATGTGGTCACAAACTCACAATCATGCAGAAAAGACTAGTCTTCTTTACTTCTTGGTCCATAGAAAACAATCTACAACAATGGAGATCTGCTGCTGTCACCAAGAGATAGGATACGGAACAAAGAGTTGGGAGCACATGATTCTGAACAAACTAGGAGACCTACAGCTCGGTCTAACCAGTAGCTCGAGTCCGACGAATCTATCGTTGAGTATCAACAATTTACACCTTTTCAATAATGACTAGAGCAAAAAGGGGAAAGAATCGAATCGGCTTAGCTTTGTTTTTAGTAACCACAAAAACTTCCCCGCATGGAAGCATTAAGCACTCTTTCGCATTGTCATTGTTCCTAAAGAAAGAAGTCCACAATCTCATTCCTGCTTATCACGAGCAAGTCTGGCTCGGTGTTTCAGCTCCGCCCTTTTCCACTTCACCACCATGTAGCAGAGGTTGAAAAGTGTGTTTATCTGCAAGAAGAGATCATCAAACACTGGCAATGGACTAACAAAAGGAAAGAAGGTGATTGAAAGGTGAGAAAGAAATGGCTAACCAGGATTAGACAGGCAATGACCAGAAGAGGCCCTGACCAGACTGCTGAAAGAAATATACCGTGCGGATCAAAGTAGTTCTGGGTTGCAAAGCTTCTCCAGTTGTTTCCAAGTATTCTGTTCAAGATCTCGGCTAAACGTACCCCAGCCACTACAATACATTCACACCATCCCACTTCAGTCTCGCATCTATCAATTATCATCTATCAGAAGAACTTAATGAAACAACTAACAAGCATCACAGACCATATCTCATATCTTAGATTACACATCTGAAATTGAAGCACGGGAGATATTCCATGACCATATTAGCCACAGCCATTTTACAGCATTTACTTGCTTTAGCAAATCAGGGGAAGAAAAAGTGTTGAACTTTAGTGATCCCTAATCCTAGTTGCATCTCAGTGATCTTCTCACAACATTGTCTTTCCGACCGGCATAGGTGGAACTTTGCAGTGAATCAAAACCTAGTTCCCCTATATCAACCACTGTTTTGTATATTTTGTTCCCTAGCAGTCATTTCAGAAAGGGGCCACACGAACAAGTCACAAGTAGAGAAATGAAACAATACCAGGAGACCAACTTACCAATATGATACAAACACCTAAAGCCCCAGAAATTCAATTCAAACCATAATCTACTCCTGAAGAGATGGAAAATGAAGGAGGAAAAGAGAACTCACAGGTGAGAAAGAACAACCCCATCTGGAAATTAGTGTTCTTCCTCGAGAATATAGCTACAATAAGTAGCAATACATGGAATCCCATCATCCCCATCAACCAAGGCTCCTGCAACAACAATTGAAACAAAGAAATTCACACAGCGACGAAAACCAGAAAGCTTGGGAAAATGAGCATAGCTTCAGAAACAGAGAGGAAGAGAGTACCGTCCAGTCAATGGCGTGAAAGAAACCCATGAAATTCTCGTAAGCCGGCTGGAGTCCGGATCGTAGCTCGGAAGAGAGCTTCTGAACCAGATCCGCCATTTGGTCCAAGTGCTGGTCCATGGCCGATTTCAGAGCTTCCATTTTTGCTTGCCGCCAGTAATTCCCCGCTGAACTGAATTGGAGAAGGAACTCGAGATCGTTACCCACCTAACTAACTCTCGGAGGACCGGCTTGAGATCTAGCAATGCAGAGACTTGGCAGAGAGGAATTCGCGATTTGCTTCTTCACTTTATCGTTTGAATCGACGGCGGCACCGATGTCGAAGTTCGACAGAATTCGAGCAGTTCTTTTCCTGGAATAGGCCGAGCTTCGATTGTAGGCTCTTGTCTTATTAGGCCAGAACGGAGGCCCAAATCTTCCCTTGGGCCTGGCTACGAATGATCCAAACTAGGGCCCACTTCTGAAGTTGGTTCCATTAAGGTGACCCAAAGATCTATTCAATGGGCTTATGGGCTAGAGGTGAACAAGGAACATGGGCAAACAAAGACAAACCTAGCCAAAGAGGAAACCTTTTTGGTACAACCTAAGAATTAATTACTATCTAATGGTGAGTGAAAGCCTATGATCTTAATCTTTTGGGTGCAGCCTATGACCTTTTTTCAGTACCAAAAATCATTAATTCATCCACTTCCCCACATAGTGATTGATCTATAACACTAAATAACAGGCGCTATTATTACCAGTATAGTTGCACTGCCCACATGCAAGGGGATAATAATAATAATAATAATAATAATAATAATAATAATAATAATAATAATAATAATAATAATAATAATAATAATAATAATAATAATAATGGGCATAGAGAGATGTATAGACATATGATATAGATATCAGCTAGCAATGGTCACAATCCAACTGTTCCATTGCCTAGCTAGGTTTTGGGATCCAATTTGCATAGTCTCAAATATTAATATTGCTAGGGTGTCAGGGGAAGAAAAGAAAACACAACCGTTACTTATTTCTAAGGATGTAACCAAAGGGGGTAGAATAATGGTGTAGTTCATTCCTTTAGAAAAGTGTGTTTATCTTTAATAATGAGCGCATATAGATTTTTACGCGTGACCAAATAATTTATAACGGATCGGAATTGAGAAAGTCACTAAAATTTGCGGAAATTCGTGAAAATAACAATAAAACTAAAATGATTTGATAAGAGAATGAGAAGGGCATAACTTGGGATAGAGATTGATAGAATCTGATAATAGAATTACGAGAACAGAATAAAAAATCAACTAATCAGAGTCCTTATTCGCTGACGAAATCAAATACAACATGCATACGTATAACTGAACATGAAGAACATATAATCTCCTTACATGATTCGGTCGACTTTTCTGATCGAGTTACAGTATGCTTTTTTTATAGTTAATTGAAGGCAACCAAACCAAACAAAAAGGCAAGCAAATTGCACCACTCGATCGATCCCCATTCCTTTCTTCCTTTCTCCCCCTCTCCATGTTTCCACAGAATATTCACTGCCAAAGTGCTGTATAATATATGAGCTAGCTAGCATATATATAGTACCACAGCTAGCAGACCAAACAAATCGTCTCTCTTTTGTAGAAAGGCAAGAATCCTAACTCATGTTCATTGTTCCCCCCACCTCTCTCTTTTGCTATTGATCACTCAATCTTTCTAATTAATCTGTTTACTCACTTCCATATATTTGATTATTTTCATAACCCACTTTCAGAATAAGTCTTATCTCACTAATTGAGGTTAACTCAGAAGAAAGCGCATATTTATCAGTTAAGTAGTCACACGTACATGAAGCAAGTCATGCATATACAAAATTTAAATGATTCCTGAATAGAACCGTTTACACTTTAATTTACATGCTATGTTAGCGCGTCATATGATGTGACAAAATCACATCGAAAAGGGTTGATATTTAAGCAGTGCAACTTGGATGAATTGGTTTGGAACTGGATGGATGTGTCTTGAACTAAATTAAGATAGTTTATCATGGCCAAGTCCAAAGAAGATAACTCACATGGATGCGGGAAAATAATACCCATTTTTAAATTCTAAGCTTCCTTTTCTATCTTATACTTTAAGCAAACTTCTAATTGTCAAATTCAATTTCGCCATATAAGTAGCTTTTTGGATACATTTATCATCATAATCATCAACCCTGAAGACCTTGAATAATATGTATGGTCTTCCTTGCGGCGGGTCTTATACTCTTGGATCTCATGATAACCCTTTTTCTCCAAAGCGTGCCAGCTTAATGTCAAATCTTTTCTAGAAGGGATACAAGAGTCTAATCTACAATATGCATATGTATTTGAAAAACACAAACCCTACTCTGAAAACCATCAAAACAATCACAAAATCTTCTCAAATATACGAGCGGATATGATGAAGGAGCATCTGACCAAATTCCTCTACGAAAAGCGCTCTTTTTCGTCTACAAATTCACCGAACCAAACGATTTTTTAACGTGAGATAAAGCCTAATTCGAGGTAGTTGTTCACAACCGAACTTTTGGGGGAGGGATTAGCTCAGCAATTAAACCACACCCCCAGGTACAACAAACACCTCAAATGGGGCTATGATCAGCAATGAATGGCTGCAAAAAAAGCAACCCGAATCATGGCATGTTTAAAGAAGAAACTGATGAAACTATGGGGGTACGTATGTGAATAAATGGTTTCCCTCTAGGCTTGTGGGAGAGACGACATTGCAATATGGGCGAGGATAAGGACCTAACCCTAGCAATTAACAAACGTCACGATGCATGATGATAGTATAAAGCTATAAAGCCATCCAAATTTAATGCCCCTTTTTTCATATATTGACGAGCACTTATACCATAACCCTACGCCAAAGATCTCTCTCTCCCCTCTCTCTCTGCTAAGTGCTAACCCATATGCCTGGCTGCATATATATTGATAAACCCTACTAACCTCTTTCAATGAATCGAGAATGCGTATTAAACCGAAATCAAATGAGTAATAATTACTGCTTTGAAGTGTACGTCTACCGAGTTGTACATAACGAAAGTCGAAATAGCAAAAACAATGAGCTATATAGTTAGTTGTGACAAGTTTAAGATCTTCACGAAGAGAGTTATATAATATACCGCAATACGGGATAGTTTCATAATCAAGAGAATCATTCATCACCTAAGACGGTGTAGAATGATCATCATATACTTCGAAAGTTTGAGTTGGAGAAAAAACCGCACATGTGTCAAGCAGCTCTCATTGTCCTGGGAACCTTAGTGATCATCCACCCATTTCTGTAATAGCTAGACTAAAGTGAACACTAAGTAGGAAACTCTTAATTAATTACTGTTTTTTCGAACATGATTAATTAATTACTCACATGAATGAAAAGGGTTTGGTTGGTTAAGTGGGAAAAGACTAGTTGAAAAAAACAACGGTCCACGCACCAGTACCCAATATCAACAGTGTGACCAGTGTCAACATAAATGGCTCTCTCAGGCTCTGCTTCAAATCCTAACAAAGTAGTAATTAAGTGAAACTCGTACACCATTTCAAGAGCCTTTAAAGGCTCCATCACTGGTATTTTGATAGTAAAAAACAAAAACAAAAAGTTTCTAACTTAGCACAGCCTCAAGTTGGCAAGTTCACAAACCCATATTTGCAAAATTCAAACCAAGGGGAATTGACAACATCATGAAGTTTAGTTTTCATGATGATAGCGAAACAACAGCTGACTCAACAAAGAATGGGGGTAAAACCCTAACCCTAGCCAGGGAATTAGTTGCTAATTAACCCTGATAACGTGCTGTAATTAATAATAAACATGACCAATAATGCACCTTTCTTCTGTACTTTCCTTCTTCAGAATTCAACACAGGCACGAATCAATAAGGATATATAGAAAGTTAATTAAAGAACAAGAAGAAAGGTAGATGGATATAGGAGAAGGAGAGATCGATCGAGCAAATCGGATTACAATTAGCATAGCTTAAGAAGGCTAGCAGAAGGTAAATGATACATAACAACAGTACTTAAATCCCAAGTAATAACCTGATCATGATTATATAGTAAATATCCATATGGAGTCTTGGATACAAAAAAAAAAAAAAGACGAACCCAGAAAGAAAAGAAAGAAGGAATTAACTATTAAGGTATAAATATGAAGAACTATAGATAGTTTCCCCCTTGATCCGCCATTAATCATCATCACCATCAGATCGGTAATTAAAAAAAGGGCTAATTATAATCATAAGTATTATAATTAAGCATAAAGTCATCACCGCTTAATCATCCAATGATGAGGGGTCCCCGTATCTACACGTACGACCATGATTCAAATATGGTCAAAACGAAAACCAAGTCAAACGAGAGAGAGAAAGAGAAGAATGACATTAACCTCAAGTTAGCTGTTTTAGGGAAGGTGGATATTACATCGCTACCCTCCACCTCCTCCTCCTCCTCTTCCTCTCATAATCTCTGCTCCTCCTCCTTGGGCTCTACAACCTTCCCCGTCATCTGACACGTCACCATGTCCTGCAGCAGCCCATTGTCTCTCAGGAAAGACGACGCCGCCGCCGCGGCTGAAGTAGCACTCGTCGTGGTGGTGGTGGTAATGTTGTGAGACGGCGTGGAGTTGTACATGTACGCATTCTGAAGCTGTTGTTGCTGTTGGTGGATGTGTTGGTTGTAGTGATGATACGACGGTAGAATATTCAAAGGATCGGCGAACAAATGCCTGATCCCTCCGCCGCTTCCCGATCTGGGAGTGATCGGGGAAGGGTGAGTGTGCTGGCCCTCGTAGGTCGTCACGACGATGGAAGTGTCGTCGGATGACCTCTCCACCCGCTTCTTCACCCCGCACCCCGCGCTCGTGCACCGGTAGTAGCTCCTGATCGATCAAGAATCAGTCAAAAACAAGGGATGACAAACATGATGAGCGACTGTAGAAAAGAGTATGTGATATGATGCTTGCGTAACAAGTAATGGCGCTGGCAAAAGATCTATTATCATTACCACAACAGAGAGAAATTATTATATAATCATGCTACTTTTTACATGTAATCAACTAAGTAGATGGAGTTATGAGGAAGATCGATCGAGAAGGGATTTGATTGAAGTACGTAGTAACATATATAGATGTAATTCATTTACCTAGGGTAAGGGCTGTTCTTGACGGCTTTCTGGCCGTATTTCCTCCACCGGTAACCGTCGTCCAAGTGATCCACTTCGCTCTTCGTCATGAAGGCGAATCTCGGCTCCCTTTGCTTCTTTTGCCCCTTCGTCTTCTTCGCCTTCAACCTACACCCAACCAAAAACAAGTTATGGTGTACGTTCAAAACTAGTTAGAATAGAAGATTAATAATTATTCTTCCGTTACGGGGAGAAATCTTCTAACTTCAAACAGAATGAATTTGGTTTGGTTTAGAAAAAAAGGAGGGTTTGACGAGTAAATAGTTTGACTTACTGTTTCTTTGAGCTGTTGTTGGTGTTTTTCTCTTCATCCTGCTCCTCTTCTTCTTCTTCACCACCGTCTTCTTTGAGGCGATTTTTCCCGTCTTTACTACTCTTCTTGCTGTTCCCTCCTTCGTTCGACGAGGAAGAAATCGAGGAGTTCGGTGTCGTCGGGTTGTTCACGACCTCCGAAGACTCACCCGCAGCCGGCGAAGACATCGGCAGATCCAGCTGCACCGTCGCGGCCGGGAACGGAGTCTGAAACAGATCGAACAAAGAGGAAGGAGCAGAGTATCCTCCGAAATCCGCGCCGCATCCACCGCTGGCGTCGAGCAGCTCCATGAATCCACCGCCGAACCCGCTCTGCGGCGGAGGCGGCGGCAACATCATTTGCTGCATATCGTAGTAGATCCCTCCTCCGCCAGCTGTCCCCGAAAACGAGAATCCGCTCCCCTGCATCAAAATCTCCTCCAGATCCCCTCCTCCACCGCCGCTGCTTCCTCCCGCCATAGTAAATGCTGAATTCGCCCGCCTCTCGCCGCCGCTCCTCGCCATATAGATCGCCGGCCAGAAACGAAACTCTAGCAAGCTAGCTAGATTCCTTTTTTGCTGTTCTTCAAATTACTGATCTCACCGGCAGGATCGAGGAGAGCATATTAGTACGAAAATCGAATCGCCGGTGAGATGGATTGATAGAGAAGAGAAGAGAAAAGAAGAGAGAGCAGAGAGTGTGAAAAGGGGAGGAGATAGAGTTTGGACAACAGCTTGGAATGCGGAGGTTTCCCATTTTGTTTTATGGACAGAGATGGTGGGCCAAATTACTCAAATGATCACTGAAATTCCGGCTTATTCATACACGGGTTGTTTTACGGTTGGTGTTTAGCAAAAACGTCATCAAAGTTAGGGTAATTAGCATAATAGTCACTCAAATAATTTTCCTCTTAAACTTTTTTTTCCTTAACTCTTAATTGGCCGAATATCAGCATGCCAAGATGCCAACCCAAACAAACTTAACGATATAAGTAATCACATACATCGCCACTTAACGATATAAGTAATGACGTGCTGATGTAGACGATGAATGAAACCTAACGAATACGAAATAAGCAATACGACGGTAATTATTTCACTATATTGAAAGTTAAGGTTAGTGATCAATTTAGCACTGGCCTCAAAGTTGAGTGGCCATCTTTGTAAATAAACCAGAGAGATAGAATGTACTATAATCGAAGGTAACGGACTGGCATTTGCCGGTCACCTACCCGTACGGAACAGGGCAGTGGATTAGGGCCGGTGTTGAGCATTTATTTGCTTTGGGGCCCATAATAGGTCGGGCCCAGTCCTGAGTCTAATCTCTCCTCTCCTCCGTCCTCCGCACCTTACGCGGACGTTTCCACAGGTTTAACCGGTTGCGTGTAAACTTCGACCTTTTTTGGGGCGTACACGTGGACTACTCTTCCCATTTCCATAGTCGGACCGTTATTTCTTTTGGGATAGGTCCACATTGCTTAATCTGTGTTAGGAAACCCCAATTATTTAGTTCATAGTAGAAAATGATTTAGAAATGTCAAATGTTAAATGTATTGTGTACGTGTAAAATTTGTATGATACACTAACGAGGCACCTCAATTAGTGGCATGTAAAACCCTCGATTCGAAATTAAAATGTTCGCATGACTCTAAGTTAATTAGGAGTGTAAGTTTGATCCTTAAAACCCACTGACCCGACCCGCCCCGACCCTCAGGGTCGGGCTGGGTCAGTTTGTCTATAGGGTCAATTTAGGGTCGGGTCGGCTTAGGGTCGGGTCAGGGTCAGATAGGTTCGGGTCAATTTAGGGTCGGGTCACTTTTTGGCCCTATGACCCTTAGAATCATACAAACATGTTGGACCTATTTGTAAAATTTTATAAGTTTAGGTACTAAATTGTAAAAATTTAAAAATTTGGGTACCAAAATGTAATTTTACCATCAAATTTTAGGGACTTATTTGTAAAAAAATAAATTTTAGGTACTAAAATGTAAGAAAAAATAAATTCGGGTACCAAATTGTAATTTTTAGAAAATTAGTCTATTTATTAGGGTCGACCCACTGACCCGACCCTTCCTGACCTGCCCCGACCCTAAAGGGTCAGACAGGGTTATGAAAGAGACAGGGTCGGGGCGGGTCAGTTATACATCTTGACCCTTCAGGGGCGGGCCAGACAGGGGCAGGACGGGTCGGACCAATTTTCAGCCCTAAAGTTAATGGCATAGTCTGAATTTTGTTTAACGTGAGTGAGCGCATCCAACGTAAAAAAATATTTATTCTTATTGGTTTTCAAAAATACAATGTTTTCATATTCTAAATCATTTTAAAAGTGCATTTATTATCCAAACGGTAAAGAGTGTGACAGTAATATTTCAATCGAAATTTCGTTCATAACTTCTTACTAATTTGACATTGAAGCGTGCCCTTCACGAACTTCACTACGGAAAAATAATTTAAAACTTCTAATGCTTGATAGTTATAATATTAATTTTATAAGCCAATATGCCAATTAAAATGTAAATGAATTGAGCCGAACAGATCATAGTTGGCTATGGTTTTATTCAGACTAAATTATAAGTCATTGATACTCAGATTTTATGCTATACAGATATATAGATCCCAAAGAAAACATATAGATACAATATTTAAGTACCGGTAAGATTTTTTTACATAAATCTCGTAAATGTTTCTACTGATGATTAAATGGTGAATTTAGTTGTCATCATTACATATGACATTCTAGTTTCTAGATAGATAATATTAGAAACAAACTACCGATTCATCCTTTAGGTCTAAAATTCTTAATTTATTCATTATCTATCACCAAAACCTCCTCTGGTTGAAACTTGTTAACTTCTTTTTATCCTAATAATAATTTCTCTGAAAATAGTAACTAAGGTTTTGTGCATAAACTAGCTAGCTAGATTATTGTATGTATATTTGATGTGAAAATAAACCAGATGTTAGACCTGGCAAATTACAACCCGATATTCAACGGAAAAAATTACAACCCGATCCGTTTACCCGACCCGAAACCGCCCGAAAACTATAAATTTTTGTAAACCGAAATCCGAATGACTCGAACCCGATAACCCGTGATTTTTTTGGTCGGTTGGGTGGGTTAGCGGGTCGACCCGATAGACCCGTTCCATTTCATATATCACTCCCAAAATATGTTAAAATCACTCATAAATTGGTGAGATGTTTAAAAAAATCACAAGAATTTGAATGACATGTTTGGAGTTTAAGGATAATCAAATATCATGTGTTTCTTGTAGTAGTATTACTCTCGTGATTGTTTTTTGAAGATTTGCGCAATTTGTATTTCATTTCATTAGCATGGGAGGATTTGAGAATTTGTTAATTGACATGTGTTAGGTAAACTATTGTCATGCATATGTGAAAATTTGTGTCTCGTAACACGAAATGACTTGTAACCCGACCTGAAACCGAATGGGTTGAGTCAATATTTGACCCGAAATCAACCAACCAAACATGACCCGACCCGTAACCGAAACCCTAAACCCAAAATTAGCCAACCCGGTCCGATTGCCAGTTCTACTAGATGTTGTCTAAAACTAGATAGAATTCCTAATTTTTTTAGAATAATCATCATTGAAAGAAGTAACTTATAGCAGTAGTTAGGGGTGGGCAATGGGCGGGTTGGGTGGATTTTGGTCTAATAATGACAACCCGCTTACTAGCGGGTTGGAATATATGTGACCCGCAATCCACCCACATACTTATGCGGGTTGGGTTGGGTGGGTGGCGGATGGGTGCGATTGGGTCGCGGGTTAACCCGTAAAAGCAATTCTCCAACTAGCCATTAAGAAAATGGACTAACATTTATAATAAGTTCATAGCACATTAGTAAGATAGTATCAATAATTTGTGATTTTGATACAATTAATAATTTATAGTTTGTATCTCAATATTTAATGGATATTAACAATAATTTGTGTTGGGGGTATTATGAGCAAGGCCCAATGGGCGACAACTTGGGCTTCCAAACAGCCGAATTGGGGGGCAAGGCCCAAGCAAGGTGGGGGGCACACAAAGACAAGTCACTAGAAGCCAAAAGGGGCCAGGCTATCAAGTGGTCCATCGTCTGCGGGCGCCTGTCACGTGCCAGAAGCCTGACAAGGCGGTTGGGATATCTGACCAGAAAGGGACAAAGCATTAAATGGTGACAGTGAGGTGGAGAAGATCAACCTCGAACTCTGGTGAGTATAAATAGGGGCAGTTGGTAGCATTTACACAGGTTGGACTCTCTCTCACTAAACTCTAGTCTTGAGACACTTCTCTCTTCCTAGAAACTAACTTGGGCGTCGGAGGATTAACGGGCCCAGGCGCCCCCTCCTTGTTCGTGTGTGCAGACGGGCGACTTGCAAGAGGGGATTTGGGAGAGTCATATGAGGGTAACGTGTCACAAACAATTGGCGCGCCAGGAAGGGGAATATAGCCAGGAGTCATGAGTGAAGAGGCGCCGATGAATGAAGAAAGGGAAGAAATTACAGAGGAACAATCGGAGCGAATGAGAGGGCAGACGCCCGAGATGGAAGAGGGTGAGGAAAGTGATGGCATGTTTCGGGGATCCGAAGGCGCCTCGGTCACGAAAAAAGAATTGTTCCGGATCATCGAGGATCAGGACGAGGCAATCGAGGGGCTGCGGCGGGAAGTGGACGCGTTGAAGAGGAGTGAAAGGATGACGCCCAGCCCGACGAAAAAAAGGGAAAGGATGGAGGAGACGGAGAGTGAATCAGGGTGTCTGAGGCGCCCAAATCTATGACGCCAACGCGATCATGGGGGCCCGGATGCTAGCGGGTGGAATGGAGGAATCTTGGGGCACCTATCACGCCACTGCCCCGTGAGGCAGCCTCTGGCACGTTGCATACTGTCGGAGCCCGCAGGAACAAACATTCCCCCGCTCCCCGCCTACGACGGAACCGGAGACCCCGAGGACCACCTTAACGGATATTTCACCAAAATGCAACTCTATAACAGCACAGACGCACCCTGTGCAAGGTATTCCCGTCCACCTTTTCAGGCGTGGTCCTCGACTGGTATCATCAGATCGATGAAGGGCGCATCGATTGCTTCGAACAGTTCGCAGCGATGTTCTTAGCGAAATTTGCTAGCAGGAAAAGGCGCTCCTTGACCATAGGCGCCCTGTTCAAGGTCAGGCAGAAGGAGGGAGATGCATTGAGGGATTTTTACGAGAGGTGGCTATCCGTGGCCCTAGCCGTGAAGGACGCCCAGGCGTCGGTGCTGGGAGTGTGCCTGAATGAGTGCACCTCCAGTGAGGAGCTGTGCAGGTCGCTCGCAAAGAGAGACGTGGTATCCACAGAGGACCTGGATCACAGAGTGCAAAAGGTAATCATGCTGGAGGAAACGCTAGTGGCCAGGAGGGCAGATCGGAGGAAGACAATAGTGGAGGAAGCCGGCATGCCAAGGAGGCCGTACCCCCCGAGTGGTTCGGGCTATGCGCCCGCAAGCCAACCCCCGCCAAGGAGAATTGATATGGGGCGCCAGGCGCCTAGTGGGGCTGGGCACTTCGCCGAGTACAACGACACTCTGAAGAACGTGCTCCAGCACGTTAAGGAGAAGGGATACCACATCAGGTGGGCAGGCCCCATGAGGGGACAGCCCAACGAGCGGAACTTGGACCGATACTGTGATTTCCACCGTGAAATTGGGCACCATACGGCCGATTGTTATCAGCTGAAAACG